AACTAGAAGGATGTGCAGCTGTGACATACAACTATCTACTGCGGCTTTGGGGAAAAAAAATAAATAAAATTTAAAAAAATAAAAAATAAAAAAAAATAAGAATTTTTATGATTCTGAAGAGTACTATTGTTTTGTCTGGGGTCTTTACTAGATGTACTGCACATAAAGTAGTAGCAAAAGTATGGTGTATGGTAGATATACAATAAATGTTAGAATGAATAAATGGCAAGAGGGAGAGGTATATAGGGTAATAAAAGGCTTAAAGTACGGCAGCATGAGATCTGATTTACAAAGGTTTGGCATCTCTCAAATAGTGGTTATGAAAATTATACGGAACCTCTGGGCAAAATAAACAGATTTTTAACCCATTAGAAAACAAATACCTTTCCACTGAAACCATACTGCCAAGGGATTTCAATTTCCTGTTCAACTTAGGTCAGCTGAACTGTTTTTCCCCAATAAGACCATATGCACACAATTACCTGATTTATCTATAATTGCATCTATTTCTTCAACAACATCAAAATAGGCTTCATTGTTTGTGTACTTGACCCCTGCCCGGCGCCATGGGATGTTGGACAGCTGCCCAGTGGGGAGTGTGTCCCCAACATTACTACTGCCTAGAAACCAGAAAAGGAGAAAGCAAAGCTAATGTATAAAACGGTCATCAGAAAAGCTATTAACAGAAAAAAAAATAAATAAATGCTTTAGCTGCTTCTTTAATGTTTGGGTTTTTCTTCATTGAAGTTGTAGATGGTTTCCAGAATTGTCAGAGACATATCCATACCAACACGATCAAATTTCTAGGAGACAGAAATAGGCCATGTGGTCCTCCATCTGCCAAACCAGGTTAAATTCATTTACTGATCTTTTGCTTCCTGTGTATTAACAGTAACCTAACCTAATTCCAGTGGCTCAACAACAGAATCTCATCCTGCTGCCACTGATGAAAAAAGAGGCTAGTTGTTTCAAAACCTTCTGCTGATAAAATGTCTCCACTGAGAATACAGAGTGATAACTAGGCCCTTTGGTATTCAGCTTAAATTCTACAAGAGATGCTGCCAAGCAGGCCTCAGTGGAGTAACTGGATGAAGAACATACTCTGTCCTTTTCTCATTTTAAGGTCAGCCCACCCATATGGCTGCAACATGGCTGATGTTCAATATATGGCTAATTTCCTGGTAAATGGACGTAGGTCTGAAAATAAGTCCGGTTGTCCAAAACATACATCCTTGAGCTGTGACATATTTAACATTTTGATTTACATTTCCAATTCAAAAGTAGTAGGTACTTAACAACAACAACATGTGGAAAGATCAGAAAAGTGGCTAAAAAGAAAAATCTATCTTCCTATTACCAAAATACAACTACCATTAACATTTTGGTATATTTCTTTAAACATTTCCCTTATAAACTAGGGTACATTTATTATTCTTTTCTATTTTGATAATTTTGCTTTTTTCTGATTATATTTTAAAATATAGTTGCAATCATACTATATATACAATTTTGTAGTCTAATTATGGTTGGTGTTCCTGTCTCTAACCTGTTGCCTTCGAGAATTTTCTAAAAACACTGTTTCCTTTAATCTTCCTGTTCAAAACTTTCAATGTTTCCCCACTGGCTTTAGGATAAAAGCTAAATATTTAGCCTAGCATTCAAGGACTTCCTCAATTTAACTTTTTAATTTTCTCTCTCACTATTCAACTAAAAAATAGCTCCGCTTCTGCTAAATGGGTTAATACAACTAAGTTTTTCACTCTGTGTGTGTTTTCTCTCATACAGGCCCATCCATCCACAAAGAATGCTCTTATTCCTCCCTCTCTTCCTAAATTCTATTGATTCCCCAGGGCCCTGCCCTAGGGCCACCCGCTACAGTTCAGGAGGAATTACTTCATCTACCGAACTATTCTCTTGAACTTTGTAATGTATTGCCTTACTAATCTATATTATATTTTTTCATTCTATATTTTAGTAACTTTTTTCTGACTATAAGATGTGTTTATTTTGGAAATTAGAAAGTATAAAGCAAAAATAAAGATAATATGTAGTTCCTTGGCTGGAAATGATCATTGTAAACATTTTAGAACTTTTTTGTCTGTGTGAATATTTATGTATAATTAAGAGTAACTTTTTTTGTTCCATTTGATATTATATCATATGTACTTTCCAGTGTCACAACATCATCTACAAAGTATGGAATTACTTTTCAAAATCTTATACTGTTACTTATGTATTTTAATTTTTTTTCCAGTTTCTCATCCAGAGTGTAAGTTTTAGGAGCACAGATGCTCCATCTTATCTGTCCTTGAATCTCTCCTTACAATCAGCCTTGCACAGAGCATGAATGAAAAGCTGTTAAATAATCACTTTCGGGCCGGCCCTGTGGCTTGGTGGTTAAGTGCGCGCGCTGCGATGCTGGTGGCCCGGGTTCGGATCCCGGGTGCGCATTGAGGCACCACTTCTCCGTTCATCCTGAGGCCGAGTCCCACATACAGCAACTAGAAGGATGTGCAGCTACGACACACAACTATCCACTGGGGCTTTGGGGGGAAAAATAAAATAAATAAAATCTTTAAAAAAATAAAAAATAAAAAATAATCACTTTCTTATAGGCCTCTCTTGCCCCATATTTTAGGTCAGTCAGTGCACTTGGAGAGGCGTTTACAGTGGTGGACAGTACAGTTGGAGCAGTATGTAACATTTCATAGAAATCCTTCTCTAGAAGACTTTAATATTTTCAAAAGAATATTGTCATCTGGAGTACTTAATTTTTAGCTATACTGAAGATTTAAACCAAAATTGGAAACTTATAACACAAGTACAAGGCCTACAAATAATGCATGAGATCTCACAAATAGACTAATTTCCTCTCTCTTTTTGTTTTAATACATCTTCTGTATGTATAAAACAAAGACTTCGAAGAGATAGTACGTAGTCTGTGGTGGAGAGTCTTAAATTTTCTATACTCTAGTAATTATGAGGTAGCAGCCTAATGCCAGTTTTAAAGACTATTTTTGGGGCCGGCCCGGTGGCGGAAGCGGTTGGGTGCACGCACT